CGCACATGTGCCCCACATGGGTTTCAAGCCACCAGGTCCGGAACTTGAACCGTGGTCAGCCATGTGGGTGTCCAGCAACTTAACTGTTATGCTATCTGCTGGACCCCCTGCTTTATTTTTCTTCATAGCACTTGTCACCTCCTAATGGATTATCTGTTTATTTTGTTTAGTATCTAAGCCCTTCCTGATACAAACTCCATGACTGAGAGGATTTTTGTCCAATTTGTTAACCATTGTAAACCCAATTCTTGAATAATTACTGAGTTGGAATCTTCATACAGGAGTTTTGCATTACATAGTTACAGTCTTATAAATATGCTAATGATCTGACCCAGCTATTCCACGTCTAGAAATTTATCCCTCAGAAGTAATTACAGATGTGTGCAGATATGGTTAGAAATGTTACATGGGCAAAGCACTGGAATAATGAGTTGACATTTAATTAGCACCTACCACGTGCCAGACCCTATTCCAAATATTTACACACATGAATTCATTTAAACATCACAACAACCCTAAAGCTCAGCTTTTATTTCTAGATTTTACAAATGAGGAAGCAGGCAGAGGGACTCAATAGCATATATTAAGGCTAGAATTCAGTCATATGTCTGACTCAAGAGCCCATACTCTCTTTTTATTAATTAATTTTATTTATTATTATGATTTTAAAATTTTACCAGAGAGAAAGGAAACGTGAAACAGCAAGTTGCCAGGTCCAGGCTCAAACTGTGTTCAGTCAGCACCTTAACCACCACTGCTGGCCCTGCCCATACTGTCTTTTTTGTTTTTATTTAAGAATTATTTTACTGGAACCAGCAGTTAGTGTAATGGCTATGTTGCTGGACTCCCATGTAGTGGACCATGGTTTGAGTCCTGGACCCAGTGGCTTAAACTCACGCTGGGTGCGTGTGAGTGCGTGCCCAAGATCCTGAGAGGAGAATGGAGGAGAAGGGATTGCGGTGTGGCCACCCCCCCCCGGGGGGGGGCGGTGATTGCTTGCTTTCTGTCTCTCTGTCTTTCTCTGTCTTTCTGGCGAGTGCATGCGCCCTACAGCAAAAATCTCTAAAAAAAAGAGAGAAATGTTAAGTCACTCTTTTTTCTTTTGATTTTTTTAAAATTTTATTTATTATGATCACAATCTTGTTTATATTATATTGAATCACTTTTACAGTGTACTATATTTCTCTTTCCAGAAGAAATACTTTGCATATTAGTCAAGACAAAGACATTACTATCCACATCATCATCATCAAATAGTTTTTCATCTTTTTTTTCCAGACTATTATTATTATTCTCATTTTTGTTTGTTTGTTTGTTTTTAGAGATGTTTTTGCTATAGGGCGTGTGTGCTCACCAAAAAGACAGAGAGAGGCAGAGAGATAGAAAGCAAGAAATTGCCCCCCTGGCAGGATGGCCATGCCGCAATCCCTTCTCCTCCATTCTCCTCTTGGGATCTTGGGCACGCACGCACACGCGCCTGGCGTGA